ATGAACGTACAAAGATATGAAAACAGCTGACCTTAGTCTCTGCACTCTTGCTGAAAAGGGCCTGTATTTCAAACCATGATGCAGTACCATATGTGTCCACCATGCTTACGTTTTAATACAGGACCTCGACGGCTTTGGCATCAAGCCTTGAGCAGTTTTTTTTTTTTGCTCTTCTGCATTGGCTTCATTTTTCAGTGGCTGAGTTTGTAGCTTGGTTATTTCACAGCTAGACATTCAACCATCACACATTATTCCAGACTGTGCCTTTGCATTTTTTAACCCACCTGTCACCTTTGAGTGAAGAGTGGTGACCCCCCCTCCGAGTGGTGGGGGGATCAGAGGACGTTCATTACATCCAGCAGCACATATTCTATCCATGCTTCCTGTGCTATCATGCTAATGCATTCAGACAGTATATATCAGAAGAGTAATTATGGGGTGCAGCGAGTGGTGTGTCTGCACATGCTAATGCAGCACAGGAGATTAATATTTAAAATATATACGATCCAACCAATCAGGCATGTGTGACAGTTTGCAGCTGAACGCAGCAAATTCTCCTATACCTGCCCGTTTCTGTTAACAGTTTGTTACATGCATGTCAAGTTTCACCTGAGGCAGCTGTGACTCAGTGGTAGAGCTCAGTGGTTTTGTCTAAACTGGGCGACTGTGGGTTCGATCCCAGCTCCCAGCTGCAGTCAACAAGTCAGTGTGTCCTGCAAGATACAGAACCCTAAATAAGAATTCAGCTAACAGCACCCTCTATTTATGTCTTTTTTCATGATGTGTTTGAAGGTTGTGTAGGAAATATAAACTTCTAAACACGAGCTGAATCAGTGAGTGTCGGGATAAAGACTCTGAAGATCGGAGTTTCTTAATCACCAGCGTGACTGACGTACCGTGGCGTGTTTGTGATGAAGTAAACGCCCACAGATTTAAGAATAGACAAAGCGGCGCTCTGCTCGACTCGCCCCGAGGCTCTGATTGACTGCAGCGTCGATGCAGCAGCTCGACACGAGTAAACCGAGGCGTTCAGGTACATCAGGTCAACAAAGCGTCGGGTGCAGATCAATGAGACTCTCTCTCTCACCTTATGGGATCGACTTCTTCTTCTGCGTTTAGCTCCAAATCTGCAGATGAAACATTAAAGCAGCGTGATGGATGATGATTGTCAGGCTTCACAGGAAACTCTACAAACTCTATCAAGACAACGGCCTGTACAGACGCTCTGCACTGATGTCACCTTCCCACCTGACCACGCCCCCTCATCCAAACGTGAGACACAGACGCCGTCACTGGTGGAAATGATGAAAACTGAAGTAAAACAGACAAATATCTCCTTAAAGGGATACTTCACCCATTAGGATTAATCTTTGTATCATTAGAAACCTGGTAGTATTTTTGAATGGTCGTGCATTCCGTCCTCATTTTCCTCTGAGACAGAAAATCTTTGTATTTCTGAGTCTGAAAAGGAGCTTCCAGTGACGCAAAAATCGTCATTTTGTGTCATTGGAAGCTGTTGCGGTTAGTGGGGCCGGTAGTGTCTGTGCTCTCACTGTTTGTCTATGGACTCAGGGCATAGAGTCTGTTTTCTGACAGGAATTTACAAGATCAATTCTGGAAGAAATCTCTGAATCAGTTGAGGAAACGGTTTTATGTGTTGAAGTAAACATGTCTGTAATCCTGACCTTAGTGGGAGTGGCCTGCGGTGCTGTGCATTCTGGGATTTGGTGTCTTTCATCCACATGAGCCAAAAATAAACTTTCTGCCTTTTCTCAGTCAAGAAGGCTCCAACTTCAAAATGTATTTCACATTTCTACACATATGACCCAATGTCAGTACAGATTCATGTTTCAACGGGTGAAGTATCCCTTTAAGCTCTGAGGACATTTGGACTCGACAGAGATCCCTAGTTTACTAAAGACTCAGAGGAAAGGCGACTTGTTGTATGTGGCCAGAAATCAACGTTCCTGTCATCTTCATGAACCCATCATGACCCGGCTCAAGACGGGAAAGGAGGAGATGAGTGTTTGTCAGCCCTCTGGCGCCCCCTACTGGCCCGGATCCCAACGCGAATGCCTGCCCCTCCCCTGTTGACAAGCAGCGTGCCTCTGAATGAAATTCAGTCGCTCAGGTGACAAAGAGAGAGAGAAGAAGAGACAAGATCCAGATTTTAGATTCATCTTTGAGAGATTTAGTGCATAAATGATTCGCTCAGTGAGAGGACGATGTAAAGTGAAGAAGAAGAAGACACCTCGCTGCATGTGACAGCCTCCCTCCTGCAGATGAAACAGAGATATCATTTCTCAGTGTGAATAAAAAGAAAGCTTCACTTTCCCTCAGCGCGGTTCTTAAAGTATAAAACCAACATTGTTATGTTTTATTTTATTCAAGCCGTCGTTTTATATCTGACACTCAAACACAGGGAGAAATAAGAGCCAGAGTCAGCAGAGTGTCCGAAACCTTTTTTAATTCAGCTTTTTGTTTTGCAGTTAAAACATTTTTATTGAGTTTAACGATAACTTTAATATTTAAGGAGCTGAGAGTTTCCAGTTTTACAGCCATCAATGATTCATCTTTATTTAAAAAGTTTTTATCTGGAGCCATAAAAAAACCTCTCAGATCCAGAACTCCCAGAATGCTTTGTGGTTGTAATCAGGAGCTCAAAGTTTCACTGCGGGACTGTATGGATCCTAACATCGATCCACCATCAATACGGGAAGTTTTTCAATTTGCTGTAATCACTTCACTAAAGCTTCACCTCCAACTTTTAAATCCTGAAGACTCGAAACGAGACGAATCTGAGGACAGCACACACACACACACACACACACACACACACACACACACACACACACACACACACACACACACACACACACACACACACACACACACACACACACACACACACTGGCAGCTCCAGACACGCCCACTCACTCCTTCCTTCAATATGAACAGTTTAAAACAAATATCCTTTTACTATCACCATATTTCAGCAGCAACCTCCGGTGTTGAAACATGAAGCCGATGCTGAAGTGTAACATCCTGCAGTTCCTGGAGTGTCCACTAGAGGCTGGCTGCAGAAGCACAGGAAGTCACATACACACCCATTCTAAAAAGCCTGTTTTTACAGCAGAGATGAACATGTTTACAGCCTGGTTCAAAAAACCAAATAGGTGTGATTAGCTCATGTCTGGATGGACACACACTGTACGGGGGGTGAATGTTTTGATGACTCATCAGTTTTGATTTGATGAAGGATAAGAGTTATTCACAATAAGGCGTGTAGCTGACCTGATTGACAGGTGGGCGCGGTGTAACGGTTTGTCAGGAGGTTTAAAACCCGCCTCAGCTCCAGCTCTCAGCCTGTCGTTAGGTTGACTGAAAGTTAGACTGAGACAGCATTTCCAGCATGGAGACCGCCATCGATGGGACTCCCCTGCAGGACAGACGGGCGACATCACTCAGACTTCAAACGTTCATATTCACAGTGTTTGTTTTTAAGCCTCTTGACAAACCGTTACACCGCACCCGCCTGTCAGTTAGTTGTTTTTAGGGGGTTGAGAGTCTGAAGCAGGGCATGTACTGTCATGGCGTCTCTCAGGTTACTGACAGTGCGAGCCTGAACATGTTTATGTGTCGTCTGTATTTTGTATTCAGTAGAGAATGACGGCTCCGTTCATGGTCACGTCTGTGAATAAAACTTGATTTATCTGATTTCCTGATCGGTCTCCGCGTGAATACTGAGCAGACAGCGGCCGTACGTCACCGCGCTGACACCTTCATGGACCCGTGGGAGGGCTGAAGGGGGGGTCTGCAGAGAAAATAAACAATGTCATTAAAGATGAATGTGTCTGTGTGAGCAGCTGTGTGTCCGCTGCTATATATGTGTGTGTGTGTGTGTGTAGGGGAGGCAGCAGGCAGATATCATCAGCTGCGGCCTGGAGTACCTCCGAGGTGATGAAATACAAGAAACTCCCTCCAGGAATCATTTCAGCTAAACATGAGCAGCAATAACACAAAACCAGATTCTGGATTCATCCGCATGGACTCTGATGCATCCTGTCACTGTGTCAAGACTCATTAAGAATTAAAAATATATCTTTGCTGAAATAATGAACCATAGTTGTTACAACATGAGCCAATGTTTTATTTTGAAATTAGTTTTGGACTAAGCTGCAGAAACTCAAATCGAACATGTATAGACTCCTACAGCGGGTTAGCGAGCGCGGCCCGACGGGGAGCTCCAGGGTGGGCGATGACCTCCACGTTGAGCGTTTAGTTTCTCTGCAGAAGACTTCTCACTGCTCGCCTCAGACGTCTGGATTATGTGTTAGTGTAGTGCTTTTTCATTAGCGTGCACTTTGGGTCAGGCTTCCATCATGTGATCTCGCTGGCTTTGTGAGGCGATGAGGTCATGACTGTGTGCAGCTGGAGGTCGTTTTGATCTTTCATTGACACAATGTGAGGAGGTCAGCCACAACATTGAGACAAACAGCTGTAAACATTCAACCATTCAAACTGGACCCCTCCTCCTGGGCTCCTCCCCCCCAGAAGCCCCGCCCCCTGCAGGATGTAGTGTGTACGTTTACTGCTTGTAGCTACACTGCAAGCTAACTCACGCAAGCACAAGCTAACCGCCGGTGTCACCTTCCTGTCCAACAGGAAGTAGATCAACTCCACGTCCAACACAAGGTTCACCCTCGTTTCAGAACGAGCTTTATCCACTTGGTGTTTCTCCTCACTCTCATTAGATTTTCTCTTCTTTGCTGCTACGTCCACGTCCGTCATATTCACTGGTTTGAATCTCGTCCAATCACTGAACTGTATCCACTCCTAAACTCACCTGCTGCGCCGTCATTGGCTGGAGGAAACACACAGCTCCGCCCAGAAACGTCCCGAGTCAACCAGAACAAAGCAGAAGAGTAAAATCCAGTGAGAGGACAGAGTCTCTGCAGACACAGTCACCAGCACACATGTACGGAGGCCCAGAAGGGACAATGGAGCAGCTTCACTTTAGGACAAGTCAGTGTAGACTTCCTGTTTTAGATCCAAAGGAGCTGGACTTGATGTTTCTTCACTCTTATCTTTCTCACTGCCGACATGTTGTGCTTAAAAATTCAGGATGGAAATCAAGTCTGCTGAACGGCATGTTTTTAATTTGATGTTACCTGAAGACTTTTAAAGCAAAGATTTCATGAGGAAAAGAAAAAGTGTTCTTCACTATGAGCGTGAGTGAGAGCCGACGGTGCGTAACACACACTCTGAGTACTGGTGTATAGATCGGTCTGCAGAGATTATGTCCATCGATTGGACAGGAGGGGTCGGTTCCTCTCTGATGTTGTGTTTCTTTGATTTCAGGGGCCGAAGGAGCCGTGTTCAGCAAATCACTGGAGACTCCACATGTCAGGGCCGAGCCGTTTAAAGAGCTGAGGTGAGTCTACACACACACACACACACACACACACACACACACACACACACACACACACACACACACACACACACACACGCGCACACCACTGATCGACTAATTCTCCACGTCATCACTGAGATCAGAAGGTAAACTCCTCTTTCTAAAAGAACAAATAACTTCAGTTCATTTGGAGTTTCATTTTTATCCCCCGGTTACGGTCTCTACCTTCCCGGTCTCACGGTGAGTGACACGCCCCCTAAACACAAGATGATGATTTTTTCAGAGATATTTATGGTCCTGGTCTGGATCCCTAAATGTCTTGATCTTTGTGGTGACCATTTTAAAACAGTCACAACTGAGATTTGAGTTGTGAAACTATTTCAATCTGTTTATTATAGTTCATGATCGGGGTTCACTGATGCACATAAATGTCTCATTCTGTCCAACACATCCAAGTCAACCCAACACGCCAACACGGTCAAAAAACGATATGCTTCCAAACACACCTGAATCCAATTAGCTGGAGCCTTGGCTTTATGCACAGCATAAGTCAAGACTCCACCTACTGTTCAGTGTCGGAATTACACCTAAATACAAATTTGCAGTGTTGTGTTGGGGTTTCTTGCAAGGATCAATAAAACAAGCATTTTGGCTCCTACAGTCTTGTCTTGGTCTTGGTCTCTGAGCACTCTGGTCTCGGTTAGTGTGGTCTACATTAGATGCTCCTTTCATGTTTGTTAACGACCAATCACAGCAATGTAGCAGCAACCTCCATCGCCATGGAAACTCCTGTTCGATGCTGTTAACAAGCCTGTTTCCAAAAATCAATGACGGACAATGAAGGTGGCCATGCTCTTTTGTTTGTGTGTGTGTGTGTGTGTGTGTGTGTGTGTGTGTGGTGTGTGTGTGTTGTGTGTGTGTGTGTGTGTGTGTGTGTGTGTGTGTGTGTGTGTGTGTGTGTGTGTGTGTGTTTACTCGTGTGGACAGCCGGGGATGTCTCCTTGGTGTAAATGTCTTGTTTATCATCTTTCACTTGCCTGTGCTGTCAGATAGGATGACAGTCAGAGAGAGAGAGAGAGCGAGAGAGGGAGAGAGAGAGAGAGACAGAGAGAGAGAGCGAGAGAGAGAGAGGAGAGAGAGAGAGAGAGAGAGAGAGAGAGAGAGAGAGAGAGACAGAGAGAGCGAGAGAGAGAGAGAGAGAGAGAGAGAGAGAGACAGACAGAGAGAGGGACAGACAGAGAGAGCGAGAGAGAGAGAGAGAGAGAGAGAGAGACAGACAGAGAGAGGGACAGACAGAGAGAGAGAGAGAGAGAGAGAGAGAGAGAGAGACAGACAGAGAGAGGGACAGACAGAGAGAGAGAGAGAGAGACAGACAGAGAGAGCGAGAGAGAGAGAGAGAGAGAGAGAGAGAGAGAGGGAGAGACAGAGAGAGCGAGAGCGAGAGAGAGAGAGAGAGAGAGAGTAGTGTACAACGGGACAGAGAGCGAGCAAACACAGGATGCTTTGAGGACGTTGGTGCAGTTTTACAATGATAACCGACAAATGTACATCAGAATGTTTCATATGAGTGTTCTCTCATTCTCTTCCTCCGCTCACCGTCCAGCATCAGCACTGCATACACACACCATCCCATCATCCACCTGCAGGCTCCTACGAGGGCTTTAAAGAGTGTGTGACATGTTCCACATAAATAAATCCTAAAGTCTGTCCTGTGTAAATGTGTCTCTGAGTCCTGACTGTCTACAATGAGGGAGAAGCTCGAGTCCCGCTGGCTGTGTTGTTGTCAGAGCCGTGTTTACATGGACGGGACGGCCGGCTCCTCCCCTTGTGTATAAAAGCTGTTTTAGTCAAGAACTAGAGAGAAGAAGAAGAACATACTCACTGATTATTTGGATGTTAGTAAGAGTTTTTAGATCACGCTCATTCTGTGTCAGTTTACATGAAATGTGAAGCTACAAGCTAACTAAAGAGCGCTAACATTAGCATGCTAACACAACAATGTGAAGCTACGAGCTAACTGAAGAGCGCTAACATTAGCATGCTAACACAACAATGCAGGACGCAGGTGATGTGAAGCTATGAGCTAACTAAAGAGCGCTAACATTAGCATGCTAACACAACAATGTGAAGCTACGAGCTAACTAAAGAGTGCTAACATTAGCATGCTAACACAACAATGTGAAGCTACGAGCTAACTAAAGAGTGCTAACATTAGCATGCTAACACAACAATGCTGGACGCAGGTGATGTGAAGCTACGAGCTAACTAAAGAGTGCTAACATTAGCATGCTAACACAACAATGCTGGACGCAGGGGAAATTATGTTGCGTTCTAATCAATAACTCCTTCATATGAACGAGTGGAGAGGGGGGTTGGAGGTGTGTCTCTGGAGGAGGGCGGAGGCTTCAGTATGGAGGAGGCGTGGCCTAACTGCAGTTTGTTTTGGTT